TATATATATATATATATCTCCCTCACACGCGAGCGTGTAAATTATATAAAGCGTTATTATAAAATAATTATAACGATGTTTTGTAATAATTATTACAACGTGCAATAATTATTACAAAATAACTTCACGTATGATTCGAAATATTCGCGATTAATGCATTTTTAAGAGATAAAGAATGACGCCCAGAAAAAATCAGAAGAAGACTGCATTAATAGACATGTATTTGTATCAAGCGATATATCAAACGTATCTTCGAATCTTTAGTATGTCTTTATCGAAATTTAAATCCACGTTTCGACGTTTTAAATTTGATATGACAAAAATGCAACTATGCGTGCGTAAGCTAATTTGATGTCACACATCACATGTGTGTCGCAAATTATCGCGCGATTCGTGATACCATACATTCAATGATCCACAAAGACATGTCTGTGTAGTGCTGTTGAGATTTTATAATGTCTATATCAATGACTATTGGAGATTCTATTATAATTTCCATCATACACTGTGTGAGGAGTCGTTAGAAAGAGTAATTGTAGGAAAGTATATATATATCATAAGGAATATATAAATTCCTCAATGATTTATTTCACTCCGATATCTTTTTCTTTTAGCTTTTCATTTTAAACTTTTGCAATTTTACGCGATAAAGTATATAATAGAATTATATACTGAATTAAATTGAGATAATTGCTACCACTGTAGAATATCATTTCATGAATCTTATCGAAACTAAGCTAGGCTTGCGTGTGTCTTTATATTGGAAAAATATATACATGTATGTGCGTATGCTTCAACATTTAATGTTCATATGCGTATTAGTGTGTAAACAATGTGTTTCTAGTCCTACTTTTCGTTCAATCATATAACACAACGAACGTGCCTTAACATCATGTATATCGATCTTGAGTGATTTGATAGATTTAGTATTTTTCGCAAGAAGTGTATATATACAAACACTTACCATATTTATGCTGTATAGATTTTCGGAGCAAAAATTATTCGATCAAGTCTGTTTGACCACTATGGCGCTGTTTGCTTACAGATTCATTTCATATATAGAATTGATTTTATTCGTAACGTGTGTATCTACAAGAAATGAATAAAATTGCCCATCTGTTCTCCGTCTTTCTTTCTTATTATTAAATTGCTAATTTCTAGTTTAAACGAATAGTTTAAACAAGTTTAAACCAAATCTTATTTTTATTATTCAAATAAAATATCATCATTATTTGAATAATACTAATAATTTAATTTCAAATAGTTCACAAAAGATTCTAGTTGATTTATATAATCAATTAATCATATCTTATCATATATCTATGACAAAAGATATAGATTAGAGCAGAATATTTTACAAAATCTGTTTTGGACAAATTTTATTGGGTGCTGTTACTTATTACGATTTGCAGCTATGTCCTTTAATTAATTAGAGGACTTGGATGTGTTCTCAGGGATTTTCGCCTGTTTATCGGGAACTCCTCGTTTGCTATAAGCGGTAGATGCAGCGACACCCATCAGCAAAGATGGCAATGTACATTCCATAAAACGGACTCTTTCGACGAGTACGTTACGCTTTCTCTCCAACGAAGCGTTCCTCTTCTCGTAGCTTTCCAGCATTTGTCTCCAATAATTGCTTTTACTAGTATTAATTTCACTTGCAGTTCTATCTATATTAGTATTTGCCACAGCGGCTGAAGTTCTGGAGAAATCAGCCATCGTTCACAAAAAATTTTGACAAGCTGAAATTAGGTTACTAAATAAACGCGTGAATAAACGCTTTAGACTACATCATGAAGTATCTTCCATTAACATCAACCTTTAATCTTCAAGTTTTGAGTCACGTTAGTGACCGAAATAACCAAAAAAGATATAAAATGATATGAAATGACAAGTGACATGGCAATATAAAATGAAAATGACTCAACATTATTGGAAGTCGTCGGAATTATCCGTGTTGTCATTACGCCGTTATTACTTCAAATTAGACTGAATTTATTTTGTTTATAAATTAAACGAGATGGAAATAGCAGGCGCCGCGAAAGATGTCGCAAACCTTCCTCTTCCTATCGTGATTTCATCAAAGCAAGATGTGCTGATGAGTCGCGACACCCCTTCGTCAACACATTCACAATCTAAAATGCCCCTTTGTCCTGCATATCGCTTCTGCAGGGAGTTAAGAAAGCCTTATCGTTCGCCTATGCTTGATAGCGATGACCAACAGCAAGTAGGTCGAATTTAGAACTCGAATCTGATAAACGCACACCTTTTATGTCACAGTAAAATTTTATAATTTATTTTATCTATTTGATATCGTAAATAATAAGTTAAGAAAATTTGAGTCATTGTAAATAACAGACGTGTGCAAATATTTTGAATTTTATTTAAAGAAATGCTATAGAAGTATTAATAAACATTGCGAAATAAGTACTGATCTTATCATTAAAAATCATTGTAATTTATTTAACGTGTCAATATGTGTGTCAATATTCATAATTAATTTACTCGAGTCTACATTGAGAGGGAAATAACAAATTGCTAACAGATCACGATACTCCACGATTTATTGCAAGCGATTAAAGAAGCTGCGTTAAAATTGATACAATTAATTACGATAGAGGAACGACGAAGGAGAGGCGTAGATCCTCAGATACGTTATTCTGATTCAGAACGATACGAGAGGAGTACTCAAGTAATAAAATTTGTAGATTTATCATTATCACATTTGTGATAAAAAAGAATTAGAAAGAATTAAAAATAAAATAGCACTAATTGTAAGTAACTTCTGTTAGCCGCATAAGCCTGAATCTGGAACCATTATCGCGACCACATCCTCAGTTTGTGCACTTTGTGGCGTTGCACTTCATCTGAAGGAAACTTCAAAGAAACCAAGACAATTCGTAGCCGATAGAGGAAGAAGTGATGGTTATAGTCACGGTATCTTACCGAAACAGCTTGAGAATATGTTATTGAAAAAGACCTATAAAATTCCTTTATCTACCGAAAAGGATAAAAAAAGCGATTTCTCTATTCCGGGAAGTGTATTTGGTTATATTCTTTCCAAAGAAAATGGTCGTATTAATCGTTCGAAAGAACGAGAAAAAGTCTTTTCAAAAATCCAATCCACTGATACGAGCAAGAGTGGATTACAATCAACACTATTGTTTATACGAAAATCTTCCGATAGGATCGCGTCTCAAGATGAGTCTCAACGAAGGCATGATAGTACAAGTCAAGTGTCGAGATACGTTAGTGAGTAAAAAAAAAAACAATTTTATTCCTGAAAGGAATTTCTATATTCTGCTTCTATATTTTACAATCGACTGTCAAGAGATAATAGATGCTATTTATATAAGCAATGACTGTTGTTCGTGTAAAATAGCTAGTAAACATGAATGTAAGACCAGTGAATCATCACATCAATGCATCGTCAATATATCATCTACAATTTGCTCCACCCAAGAAGTAGCGACGCTTACTCAGGAAATGGTAAATCAAATTTATTGCTTATATTAAGAAAATTACATGAGAATAACTCTTTGCTTTCTCTCAGTGAGAAAAAATATATCCTGTTAAAAATATTAATCGAAAAATAGAATGATATATGTGTAATAACTTACATAATAGCAATTCTTTGAACGTACTATGTATTGTAATATTTTAATACTTTTTTCATCGTATTAATGTAATTAATCGTATTAATATAATTAAAAATTTGTAAAATTGATAGTAAAAAATTATAAAATTACGAGCCTGAACAATTAACTGAATTATTTTCAGCTTTGTCCATGCGCGTGTGGATTGCTTGTGAAAGAAGAAACTAAAAGCAAAGGGTCTATCAATCCGATGCCTATATTAAAAGACGAACTTATTAAAACGTACAATATTATATAAACATATAATTTTTATTCTTTTCATCCAATATAAAATATAAATAAATAACATATAAATTTTTCGATTTCTGCAAAATTCATCACACAAATTAAATATTTTCATATTACACATTAATTTTTATTTCAAAACGTCTCGTCTAAAACAAATGATCGCGATTATAAAATAACACGTATTTTGTGTATTTTTCAGTAAACTTGAAGAGTTAGATCTGCATTTAGATTCAAGAAAAATAAAAGTACATGGTGACACAGTAAAGGTCGAGAAAATGAAGATGCAGAAGTTGGAAAAAGACGTGAATATCAAACGTTGGATAGAGGAAGTTGTGCAATTGCGGTTACAAGTGCAAATTGAGGAGCTACATAAAAATATTCAATTTTTCAAACAAGAAAACGAATATATTCGACGCCTTGCAGAAAAATGTCGCTATTTAGCAGAAGACATAAGGAATTTACAGCAATTTCTACCGATTAGAAAAACACATAAGACTGGTGAAGACTTATATTCAAGATGTATAATTGATTTTTTTGTACTTTTAATTTAACACATTATAGAAAGTGCATTATGAAGTTTCAGAATTTACAACAATTAAGCACTTACAAGCAAAATATCACAATCAACACGGAATAATAGCCACATTAACCGGAATGTTTCAAGGTTCAATAAACATTCAACAGATCGCTGCGAAACTATTAGCACCGTTTAAAGAACATTGGAATCCGAGAAAAAAGTATTTTAGATACGACATCAATGAATATAATCGCACTATTAAATTTCTTACACATAAATTTAAAACAAAATCTACGTTTCTATATTTTTTTCAGTATAGCAACGACTCATGTATCATCTGCTTCAGAAGCGCGAGCTTCTTCGAAGGCAGCGAGTCCCGTGGTATTCCATAGATCCAATGTTTATTAAAATATTTTTAA